AGGTAACATCTTGCTTGAGACTCTTCAACTAAACACTTTTTTTTCTCTGTTTCCATGCAAATTATGGGTCATTTTGAAATTTATTTTACATATTGACAATACTGTATATAATGCAGTGCAGTGTTGATTTAAAGAAAATAAGCTTGAATTACACCAACAGAACTAAAATTTTATGGGTGAAATGGCGCCATGGGGTGACTTCTCTTTCACCCCAATGCCTTCTCTTCTCCCTTCTCCTCCACCCCCATTCTAATTCCCATCAGCATCATCATCATCCAGGAGCCTTCTACATACACACCTCAAAGTAAGTGTACTTTACTACCTTTTTTGTTGATTTTAGGCAATTTTCCGTGAGCTGGAACCAATTGCCCAAAAACCCATTGAAACAATGGTTTCGGTTAACGAGCAACCTTCTGGAACGAATTGTGCTCGTTAACCGAGGGACCACTGTAATGTTTATTTATTTTTTATGTACCCTTCATATACAATACAGTATAGAACTATGTATATACCTCATAGGTAAAAAATAATGTCATTCAAGACTTATTCAGGTCATATGACCCACTGATCCCCCATCCAACACTGGTTGACCTGATGTTGCATCAGGTCAGGTTAGTAACGTGACTCAATAATCTCCCACCCAACCTTCATCACAAGTGTTAAGATATGATAAGTTATGTATTACAGTCAATTGAGTGAAGTGTGCAACAAGAGACATGACCAATCGCCCAAGCAACTAATGAGCTGATCAGTGGTGAAGAGGATAAAAGTAACAGCTGTATTCATGCCTGTATCATATAGAGATGGCAGTGGGGTGGAAGAGAAGTCACCCCATGCTTCTTGCCGCCATTTCACCAATAAAATTTTTAAGTTCATTAGGTGTAATTCAAGATTATTTTCTTTAAATCAACACTGCACTGCACTATATATTGTCAATATGTAAAATACATTTCAGAATGACCAATAATTGTACTGTAAAAACGTAAAAATAGTTTATGTTCAAGAGAGTCTCAAGCAAGATGCTTCCTCCACTGAGCAGAGACACAAACTGACGCCATTCTGGGTGAATCAAGTGGCTGTTTGGCGCGCTCAAAACTAGTTCCCTGTACTTCAATTATGTTAAATAATTGTTAAAATGACTAAAAATTTTAATATAAGACTTGGAAAATTATTGAATAGTACAACCTTCTTGATATTTACTCAAATGGTAACGAATTTAAGCCCTAAAACCAACTACTGTATTGGCGGACTAATACTACAGCTGGTGAGCAGGCGAAAGCAGGGGAAAACATGTCGGGAAAAATTCGTAAGTAATTTGTTAACTGAATTTTTTTTGTTAACCGAATTGAATATTCTTATGGAAGGTAATTCGTTAACTGAAATTTCGTTAACCGAGGGATCACTGTAGTAAAGAAATTAAGTTTCTAACTTAATTGGAACTGTATTTATGGATTCCAGTAGTTAAGATTTAAGGAAAACATCTCCAGCACCTAGAAACGTTCTGGGGAAGTGGGCTAGTGTGCGTCTGTGCAAGAGGTCTAGTTTAGACACTCAGAAACTTTTCCCAGTAACCAGAAAAGGTTCCGGGGATAAGGAATTTTTCCGGGTTTGAGAAAGTCGTCTCGTTTCCCGGAAATCTCTCATCCACGGAAGTGCTCTGCACCAATTGTTCCGGCTAATGGGGATATCACTGTATTGTGACCCTAAAAGCTTCTGGAACCTATGGACAGTTCCCTTTACTAGTACATTTACAGAGACTCGTCAGGTTTTGTACAGTGTAGCAGTGCTGTTTGTTTAAATTCGACAGAAGGAAACTCGCAATAGTAAACATACTATGAAATCAAAGTAAAACAATATTAAAACAAATATCTTAATGTAATGATTTGAGGAATGTGTATATGACAAGCCACTGTAAAAGCACTAGTGAAGGGGACTGTACAATAAGATCACAATAAGTGGAATCTATAATCCGTGGAACTTTCCAATACTGTACAAGGAAAAAATTTTTTTTTTTTAAATATCTTTCCATTTCAGGCATTCGCATGAATTTCCGAGTGATTGCATCATGCAACGAGTGCATGATAAGCATGGGTGGCAAGCTGCACGAAGAACTTAGGTCGTAGACTCAGTAAGCTAGTGCACTCTGATTAATTAGCTACCACTGTCATGTGGCTACGTGAATGCAGACAATCTTATATCATAATACAGGTACACCACCGATTTTCCGGCACCCTTGATTCCAAAGCCTTGCTGGATTATCCGTTTTGCCGGACCAACCGAGGTCAGGTAATAATAATTCAACAATACTGTACACCTCTGACCCACTAATTATACACCTCTTGTGTCTCTGAAGCACCATGGACTGCTAAAAACGTAAATTAAATATTAAATGTAAATTAAATGTGAAAAAGCCATAATTTTGAGCAACATTACTCTACACACGTTGTACTCAAATGTACTATACTGTACTACACTAAACTAAAATTTTTATCTCTTGTGCAAACTATGTGATGTTTATACTCAAATTAATCAATATATTGCAAGGATTCCAGCAATGCAATTTATATTCTGCTAAGTCTAGTCAGCAACATTTTATAAGATAAAAACTTTAAGCCTAAACTGCCTTCACCCTGGCTGTGAGGAGGAAGGGGGGGTTGTGTTGACAGCTGTCAGGGATGGGAGATAACAAAACAGGAGTAGTTTTAGTTTTTCCCTTATAAAATGTCACTGAATTGACTTGGCAGAATATAATTTTTATTGCTGTAATTCTTGTAAGCTAATGATTAATTTGAGTATAAACATCACATAGTTTTCACTTGACATAAAAATTTTAGTAATTAACTTATTACAGGTTTACCCTTAAGACAATTATTTCTTTTCCTTTTTTCACAATATAAATTTAGGATGGTTTGTACATGTAAATGAGTAAAAATAAATGAAGAAAGTTACATATATCTTCCCCAAAATATGAGTTAAAAAACTTGTACACAAATGTACTGTACTATGCTAGACTAAAATTTTTATCTATTGTGCAAACTATATGATGTTTATACTCAAATTAATCACTATCTTACAAGGATTCCAGCAATGCAATTTATGTTCTGCCAAGTCTAATCAGCTACGTTTTATAAGATAAAAACTTTAAGCCTAAAACTAGCGTCACCCAGGCTGGGAGGGAGGGAGGGAAGTTAAGTGCCCCTCATAATTTTGTCAGGACTAAAGGAGGTGCCAGACCACCAGTTCCTGGATTATCGGTGGTGTACCTGTACAGTATCACTATTTGACCTGCCTGCATCACAAGCTCACGTCGACAGCCTATGCTAATGAGTAAAGTACAATACAGTATAGTGAACCGGATCACAAGGAATTTTTATTTGTTAAATAAAATGCAAGCTCCATTAAATTTTCATACCCGAAAACATTATGATCGTTAAATTGTATTTTCAATCAGCAGGACCTTGCGGTACTCCTAATTTTTGAAAACTAAAGTTGCTATTGCTGTTAAAAAAAATAATGTAGTACAGGTTGTACCTCTCTAGTCCGGCATTCTGTGGTCCGGAACGATAGTTTGCCCAATAGGTAGATAGGCAGCTAATTTTTTTTTTTTTTTTTACTTATCTGAATTTTTATTATTATTACAGAAGTATTACATTTTCACCCCTCAGGCTCCAATGTGGGTCAGTGACCTATGCCTGGGTGGGCTAATCCCCGTAAAAAAACAACAACAACAAAGCCGCAGGAAACTAAGGTTTGTTTACATACGGCAGTTCGGCTCTCTCTCTCTGTTTGTCTATACAGTACAGAGTACAACATTTAACCCTTCAATATATATGAACAGTAAATAAGTGTTGCTTTCATATTCTTATGTAGAATAATAACGATATGTTTTTACATGTGCTCACTTACATACGCGCAGTCTTACTTTTTTTCTTTAAAATTAATGGTTAGCTACTTATATTGTTCCATTTATTAACATTAAATAACATTTCTTCAAACAACCATATTAATTTTTACATTAATTTTACTACAGCTACAACCAGGGTCTTATTTTCTTGTTTTATATGTAGAACCAATCAGTCACTGGTTTTGTAAACATTAACGAAAACAATGCCGGCAGCTGTCTCGTCTCCTCGTGTGTTTTACTATTTCACAAATTATTAATGAATTGTATTGTTCATTTTGCACACACAAACATTAATTCAATAAAAAAAAATCAGAAACATTAATTAAAACATATATGAACATTAAATAAGTGTTGCTTTCATATTCTTATGTAGAGTAATGACGATATGTTTTTCACATGTGCGCACTTACATACGTGCAGTCTCACTTTTTTTCTTTAACATTAATGGTTTACTACTTTTATTGTTCTATTTATTAACATTAAATAACATTACTAAAAACAAACAGATTAATTTTTTAAATTAATTTTACTACAGCTACAACCAGGGTCTTATTTTCTTGTTTTATATGTAGAACCAATCAGTCACTGGTTTTGTAATCAACGAAAACAATGCTGTCTCATTTCCTCGTGTGTTTTAATATTCTATGTATTATTAATGAATTGTATTGCTCATTTTGCACACATAAACATTAATTCAATAAAAAAGACATTCAGTAATAAACAATAATGAATCTTTTGTACATAAGAGAAATGACGCTGTTTACACGATTGTGCACGTCGTCTGAACGTTGGCGGGCCGTTCAAACCCGTCGAAATTCGAGTTTCCGCTGTCAAAATTTTGAATTATGTAGTGTTTTTTGTGTCCAAATAAAAAATGTTGAATTAAAAACTCGCGAAATTTGAGAAGTTACTGTACGACATTTAACCCTTCAATATGTCTTCAAAGAGACCACGAAGCAGTGAAAGTGGTGCTAACGTAAGCGCAAGTCACTACCTGTCCAGGAAAAGGGTGAATTTCCATGGTCCGGCACCGGTCAGGTCCCGAGGTTGCTGGACTAGAGAGGTAGAACCTGTACATAAATATTCTGAAACTGACCTAAGAAGTCTTGTGGTTATATATTTTACTGCTGCAGGGGTCAGCCTAAGGAGCCTCAAAGATGAGCCAGTAGCACTTCTTCTAACATGGGCTGTTTGTAGTGCTACAAGTTCAGCATGACGACTGTACTCAACAGCTGTTGCCAGTTGCTGGTCCTGGTGAATAAATATAATCTTTACATGACAGATTTAAAACACTGAAACTATAAATTACCCAAGACTAAAATCCTGTGCTTCTAGCTTCCTTCTTTAACACATCCTGCTGGACAGGGGAGACAATAACATATGCAAATGAATCCCCAAGATTGCAAAATAATGCCTAGTAAATTCAAGTAAATTCATTTTGTTGAACACAAAAAATAAGCCTCGGATGTGGAGGCAGCTGCAGTGGTGCACATAGTTCCATAATATCCCATGAATTAATTCTTGGATATTAATATACTTTACGAAAAGACTACATATTATTGTACAGTATAGTCTTAATTTACGCGGATTTCCTTTACACGGTTGGTCATTTACGCGGCACCTGGCCAGACCGGGAATTATTAGTTACACGGTACATTCCATCATTTATGCGGGAAGCGGCGCGGGCAGGGTGTGCACTAGGTCGCCCAGTCAACAAAATATTACCAAGTTCTTCACCCGCCACCCACCACAGCCAGCCCAAGTCAGTGATAGTGAGGATATGGACTTTGAGGGGTTTGACAAAGAGGCCCTGCAAGCCTCTGTGGTGGATAGTAATACAATTGATACAAGTGATACAGGTGAGGGCCAATAATCTGCCCTCTGCCTCGGACCCAACCCCCCATCCCCGTGTGCCCAGCCATCTCTTCTACTAAAGTAAGTGTTAAAAAAACCTAATACAGTGACCCCTGGTTTAACGAACACCTCGGTTAACGTAATTTCGATTAACGACTGCCTTCCATAAGGATCTTCAATTCGGTTAACGAAAAAAATTCGGTTAACGGTTCACGAACCGACCTCAACATGTTTTTAAGCTTGCACTGACCGGGCAACCAGCTTTAGTATCAGTCCGCCAATACATTAATCGGTTCTAGGGCTTAAATTCCCATATTTTAGTAAATATCAAGAAGTTTATACTATTCAATAATTTTAAAAGTTTAATATTCAATTTTTTAGTCATTTTAACAATTATTGAACATAATTGAAGGTAAAGTGACTAGTTTAATGCGCGGCATCCAGCCTCTTAACACAGCAAACAGGAGTTAGTCTCTCTCTGTTTTCACTGGAGGTAACATCTTGCTCGAGACTCTCTTCAACTAAACGCTTTTTTCTGTGTTTCCAAGCAAATTATTGGTCATTTTGAAATATATTTTACATATTGACAATATATAATGCAATGCAGTGTTGATTTAAAGAAAATAATCTTGAATTACACCAAGAGAGCTAAAATTTTATGGGTGAAATGGCACCATGGGGTGACTTCTCTTCCACCCCAATACCTTCTCTTCTTCCTTCTCCTCCACCCCCATTCTAAATCCCATCATCATCATCATCATCCAGGAGCCTTCTACATACACACCTCAAAGTAAGTGAACTTTTCTACCATTTTTGTTGAATTTAGGAAATTTTCGGTGAGCTGGAACCAATTACCCAAAAACCCATTGAAACAATGGTTTCGGTTAACGAACTTTTCGGTTAACGAACGACCTTCTGGAACGGATTGAGTTCATTAACGGAGGGGTCACTGTATTATTGATATTTCTCTATAATATTAATTGTGTGTGCATACCATCAAAAATTAAGATGATATTTTACTAAAACGTACGTATTGTGTCAGATAAAGGGTAGTCTGGGGGTCGGCCCAGTCTCTATTTCAATTAATCCCATATGTTCTGTTATTTCGTTTGCGCGTTTCTCGTTTTACGCGGACCTCCATGGGTTTAATTGATTGCGTAAACCGAGACTACTATACTGTACTATACAAATTACCCTGTTAATCAATCAATTTAAGAAATCTTCATTCCTAAATATATTTTTAACTTATTCTTACCAACCTGCATGTAATATTGAGCAGCATGAGCATAGCTGTGCATGGCCTGAGTGAGTAGATCTATACTGGCATTATACAGATACTCTGGCTCGAAATCATCAGCAATCTGGAAACCTGGAGTAACCCCTGTTAAAAGAAAAACAGAAATATGTATCTGAATTATGAATAACATTTCATACAAGCCAAACAAGTTATGCCCAGGGAAATAAAATAAAAATGGAGACAGGTGACTGTACAAGCACACCCTTGCATGTGCGTGTGTTTGTGCATGTGCCTGATGAATTTCTTTACAGTACTGTACTGTATTTAGAAATATGGAAGATGTCTGGTCACAAGCATTCTAGATTTTCTGAGTGGTAATGTACAGGCAGACCCCAATTTACCGATGGGTTGTGTCCCTGAAAAACCTTTTACAATATTATTGACAAATATTGTAAATCAAATGACTACCGGGTAAAGGTCTCAAAGGATATTTTTTATGAAAAAAAAAAGTTTTAACAAAATAATCATGATACAGGTTGACAATCCCATATCCGAAATCCTTGGGGCCAGAGGAATTTCGGATTTCGGAATTTTTCAGTTTTCAGAATTTTTTTTTTTTTTTTTTTTTTTTTTTTTTTATGTGTATTAGCCCACCGGGCATAGATCACTGACCCACATCAGGGCCTGGGGGATATAATAAAATTATAATAATAATAATAATTCATAGGTCTAGGTCGTGTTTCTCACTTTTGATCCTTTTTTTCATTCTTGTATTTCTTTATTATTATTATTATTATTATTATTATTATTATTATTATTATTATTATTATTATTATTATTATTATTATTTTATTATTATAGTGCTCCTGTATTACTGTTATTTTTATTAATTTTATTATTATATATTATTATTATTATTAATGTTGTTATATTTTATTTTGGTGTACTTTTATTAAAAATTTTATTTACTAAGAATAATTATTATTATTATAATTATTATTACCATTACATTTTCGCCCCCCAGGCCCTGATGTGGGTCAGTGATCTATGCCCGGGTGGGCTAATCACTGTTTAAAAAAAAAAAATGCCCCACAAAAAAACTTTTGGTTTTCAGAGCTTTTCGGTTTTCGGAATTTTGGATAAAGGGTTGTCAACCTGTAGTATCGTATAGTATACAGTAGTGTATAGATGCAGTACAGGTAATAAGTTTATTCAATCCAAATTATCAACACCAACAATATCTGGCATAGCATCACTGTCATTGTTACTCTCCTCTTGTGTTAATCCGATAAAGCAGATAAAAAGAGATCCTTAACCCCTAGGCTTCAGTTCACATCATATGAATTGTGCTTACAGGGCTTCAGTTCACGTCATATGATGTTTTGTAACTTCAAAGTACTGTTTCAATCGCCAAGTGGGCCTGGCTAGATTATGTTCCCAAAAAGGCATTTATCTTTCACTCACTCACATATGCAAGCCTTTGTTCATAGTAACTTCTCAGCTTTTGTGATGTAGGGATCTTGCCCTTGTACTTCACGTGCATCACCTCATGTATCTACCCCTCAACCCCTAAGCGCAAGTGTATTAGGGGTCTCTGAACCATCCAGCAGATTTGTGACCAATTAATGGAGGCAGTAATAATAACTGTAAATAGCAATAACATAATAAAACAAGTGTCCTGTACCTCATACTGCCAACAAATCAGTGTTGTGTACCTCGTACTGCCAACCTCACCCTACTGCCTCGCACTCACATGCCACCTCACGTGCATTCTTGACTCTTCCTAACCCCTGCGATCTTAACCTGTGGTAAGAACATGTAGTTCTTCACTTTTTTTTATCATGTATGACCAGTTTGTAAGATTAGAATTGCTTTTTATTTAGATTTTTCTGAATATAGCCACATGGAGGGGGGGTATATGCCAACCATAGCCCGATGCCTGGGGGTTAAATATCCTGATTTTAGCTTTCAAGATTTTGACTAAGGGTCTCCATGAACACCAATTTCGATATAATGGGGGATGATATTGACCATTCACAGTGTTGTTTATCTCAACACTTGTACCAAATCCTCCCCTCACAGAGGAAAGGACATTGATGCTGAAGCTACACATACACTGAATCCTTGCAATTATCACTTGGTCTTTTATCAGAAGACAATGAAATACAGTGACCCTCGTTTAACGAACACCTCGGTTAACGAATTTCGATTAACGAACTGCCTTCCGCAGGATCTTCAGTGAACGTAAAAAAAATTCGCTTAAACGAACTTCTTACGAAACCTCAACATGTTTTCGCTTGCACTGACAGGGCAACCAGCTTTAGTATCAGTCCGCCAATACATTAATCGGTTCTAGGGCTTAAATTCCTTACTATTTTTGTAAATATCAAGAAGTTTATACTATTCAATAATTTTAAAAGTTTAATATTCAATTTTTTAGTCATTTTAACAATTATTGAACAAAATTGAAGGTAAAGTGACTAGTTTAATGCGCGGCATCCAGCCTCTTAACACAGCAAACAGGCGTCAGTCTCTCTCTGTTTTCACTGGAGGTAACATCTTGCTTGAGACTCTCTTCAACTAAACGCTTTTTTTCTGTGTTTCCAAGCAAATTATTGGTCATTTTGAAAATTATTTTACATATTGACAATATATAGTGCAGTGCAGTGTTATTTTAAAGAAAATATTCTTTATTTACAGCTAGTTTAACTTTGAAAAATACGTGTTGCCATTGTTTGAATCCAGCATGGGGCCTAAGAGATCAAGAAAAGTGATTTCAATCCAAATGAAGCAGGAAATAATAAAAAAACACGAACAAGGTATTAAATCAAATGCGCTATGCAAAGAATATGGCATGTCGGCATCAACTGTGTCGACAATTCTTGCACAAAAAGACAAATTTAAGGAAGTGAACGTGAGAGACAAATCTACAAGAGTGTTTAAAAGTAGATCCCTAATCGTAGAAACTGAGAGGTTACTTATCATCTGGATTAGGGAAAAACAGATGAAAGGTGATTCAGTTTCTGGTGATTTCATTTGTGAAAGAGCCAGGGAGATTTATGAACATTTAAAGACAGATCAACCTAGTTCTTCAGGAACAGAATTTGAAGATTTTCGGGCTAGCAAAGGCTGGTTCGAAAAATTTAAGAAAAGAAGTGACATTTTAAGTGTTGTTAGGCATGGTGAAGCTGCTAGTGCTGATAAAGAAGGGGCAGCAAAGTTTTTAATTGAATTTAAAAAACTGATGGAAGAAGAAAATTATCTTCCACAGCAAGTGTTCAATGTTGACGAAACTGGGCTGTTCTGGAAAAAGATGCCCAAAAGAACATTCATCACCAAGGATGAAGCCTCTTTACCTGGGCATAAACCCATGAAAGACCGTCTCACTCTATTGCTTGGTGCCAATGCTTCAGGGGATTTCCGACTGAAGCCTATGCTTGTCTACCACTCTGAAAACCCCAGGGTGTTCAAGCAACAGAAAGTGGTAAGAACAATGCTTGGAGTTTATTGGAAGTCAAACCGTAAGGCATGGGTGACAAGACAGTTCTTTAATGAATGGGCTATTGATGTGTTTTGCCCCTCTGTCAAGAGCTACCTAACCACCAATAAACTTCCTGTAAAGGCTCTTCTCCTCATGGATAATGCTCCTGGTCATGACCCTGACCTTGCCAGAAATTTGGAGTATAAATTTGACTTTGTGAAAGTGTTGTTTTTGCCTCCAAACACTACATCACTCATACAGCCAATGGACCAGAATGTGATCAGCACCTTCAAGAAGTTGTACATGAAGAAAATGTTTAGGAGGTGTCATCAGGCAACTTCCATTGATCCTGAACTAACACTGAAACAGTTCTGGAAGACACAATTCAACGTCCTGGAGGCTGTAAAATTGATTGTGTCATCATGGCAAGAAGTCTCCAATAGAACCCTCAATTCTTCATGGAAAGCACTGTGGCCATCAGTAGTCCATGATTTTGAGGGATTTGAGGATGACACAGAGTTGGACCAGGAGATTGTGTCCATTGGTCAGTCATTGGGTCTTGAAGTGGAGGAGAAGGATGTGGAAGAGCTTGTGATGTCTCATGAGGAGGAACTTACTCCTAATGCCTTGAAGGAACTGGATGAGATGTTACGGGTAGAGGCTGACAGTGGTGAGGAGGAAATTGAAAGTGATGACCATATGTCAGCTAAACAGTTGAAAGATGTGATTTACCACTGGGAGAAGTTCAGGGAACTGGCTTCAAAGCACCCAGAAGTGGAAAAAACTGAACTAACTTTGTGTCATGTTGAGGACTCAGTGGTCTCCTTCTTTAAACATAAGTTAATGGTGAGGAGGATAGATGCCCCACAGACCACAATTGACACTTTCTTCAGTAAAAGGCAGAGGGAACAAGATGCTAGCCCTCAGCCTTCCACTTCAAGAAGGAGAGAGGATGTTCATGGTGGAGAATCTGTCAGTCCAGAGGTTCCTGACATTTTCATGGAAGGTGACTCACCTTCCAAGAAGCATTAAAATGCTTCTCCTCCACCTCCACTTCCTTCTCTTCTCCTCCCACTTCAAATGCACATCATCACCATCATCCAGGAGCCTTCTACATACACACCTCAAATTAAGTAAAATTTTCCGCCATTTTTGTTGAAGTTAGGAAATTTTCGGTGAGCTGGAACCAATTACCCAAAAACCCATTGAAACAATGGTTT